GGAAAAAAAGCAAAAGCCACGTGGAAGGAAACAGCATCCCAAAGTGTTTGCTCTTGCCTCCTCGTGTGGCCAAAGCCCAGAAGAGGTGAAAGACTCAGCTCAGTGGTTAGGCCTGGCTTACAAGTGCCAACCTGCTGCTTAGAAAAATCTCTCTGGTCTCTAATGCCCAACAATGCCTTTTTATTTTTTTAAATGCGTATTTATATATAAAAACCAATGCAAGATGCCTCCAAGCCTCATTCCCTCCACCTCTTCCACCTAAACTTGCCAGTACTTCGTACCATTTTTCTTATCAATGCCCTTATATCCCAAGATCAATGCCACTTTTCTTGCCTATTTTATGTGCATAGTTCACTATTTGCCCCCTCCAAAAAACTGGAGCAGTGGCATTGACCCCATTTTCTTTACACCTGCACCCAATCCCTGGGATGTTTCCCTTCTACCACCAGCTTTGCCTTATCAGGTAGGATTTTGGACTGATGGCAACACTGCCAACTGCTCCCAGCTAATCCCTGGCAGTCTGTGGCTCAGGGGGATGTTCTCCATCCCACGGGGGACTGGGAGAGAGCTGCAATAATTCATGACAAATCTCCTGCTCCAAACAGACCAAAGTCTCATCCAACGGCATAGAATTTACCCCTGGAAATTTCTTTTTCCTTCCGAGGGTTTACAACCACCTGGATAAATTTATGCTCCCCATTTTCCTTCCTTGGACACACCAACAAACCACTCTTGGTTTCCCAAAATCTGCCCGTGGTCCTTTCAAGGTCTGTTGTGTCACTGGGGTGTTTTCCCCTTGTTTGAACCCGTGTCCTAAGACAAGCCCCTGAGGAATCTCCCAGGATCCTGGAGTTACCCCTTGGTTAGATCCCAAGCATCTGGATCCATGAGCTGTTGAACAGCTTTATTTCAAGCAGTGCTCCAAGAGCTGAACTAAACCCCCTTCTCCCCTGTATTAAATATAGGATATGTTGTAGGTGCCCACACACTGAGTTCATGCAGCCTTGTGCAGAATAACTGTGCACATCCTGCCTTTCCCACTTTTCCAGCCTTTTTCTCACTTGTTTGTCCAGAAACAGAAAGAAGAAAAGGAAGTTTTTCGCCTGCACACACACAAGCCACAAAAAAGTGCTGCAAAATTACCACACTTTAAAGTGGGATTATTTGCTTTGTGAGCTTTGGTTTCAGCTGGGAGAGAGTTTTAAGTGTATTACTTTAACAAGTCCTAACAGCATTAGAGGATTTACTGTCAGTGATTCGTACAGGAAATCCAATTATTGCTTTTCACTTCTGTTTAGTGCAAACATTACTGTCAGAACATCTATGGCTTTAGAATGTACTCAAGGGCAAAACAAGAGCTGGAAGTGTCCAAGGCCAGGTTGGACAAAGCTTGGAGCAACCTGGGCCAGTGGAAGGTGTCCCTGCCCATGGCAGGGGTGGAATGAGATGATCTTTAAATCCCTTCCAACCCAAACCACCCTGTGATTCTATGCCATTTTGCAGAAAGGATTTTATTTTTTTAACCTACGTTACATAAACCTTAAACCCCAAGACTTCAGCATTTGCCTTCATACATTCCTAGTTAGCAGGAAAATTTTGGTTTATAAATTTATTACTTAGTCCTAAAGTGCCTGGCACTATTAGGCCCACAAAGAGACCTGTGTTTTCCTCAGGCCAGGTGGAGAGGTCCTGCTTTCAGGATCAAGAAGCTGCACGAGCAGAAAGGGGCGTGTGGGAAGTCAGGAGGCACGCAGGAAAATTTTCACTGCAACTAAAAACAGCAGAATGTAACTTCCAATAAAACTTCCCAAAGCATTTGGGTCTAATGGCACCTTTTGAAGAACTATTTGCCAAAGGGAAAGGCAAGGCCAAGCAGGTACAGAATTGAAACACCACGAGGAGTCAGAAGCGTTTTCGTGAGCTGCTTTGCCACCAGCTCTGGTTTTAAATCACTTTTAGAAACCAACAAGGAGCAGAGAAATTAGGAAGGAGGGCACTTCATGTGCTTGGTGGCTCAGGGGCAGGGGGCTGGCTCTGCACCCTGATTCCTCAGGCTGGTGTGGCCCCAGGGAGCAAGGCTGGAGCTGCAAACCCATTATTGGCACTTCCATGATCCCCGTGAGAGGCACTTGCAGAAACCCACGGGACAGAAGAGGTTCTAACCACAGCAGGCTCAGGGACCACCTCACGATCACTGGGCTCACAGGCAGTAGGAGAACATTTCTGGACCAGTGCAGTGTCAATATTTGATCAATACCCAAACATCAGCCTTGCACAAACACGGGTCGTATCAAACCAAAGGAGTACTTATGACCACAGATTTATCTCGAAGCCACAGACACACAAAACCCTTGTAATTTATTCTATTTTCTTTGGCAGTGGTACAATCCAAAACCCTTTGGGTACAACACGTGCTGCTGCTTCTCCACAGCACCATCAAACCCAAAATGTCTCAGCCACAGCAAGGAAAAAGCAGCAACATGGGAGTCTAGAGACACCCAAGCCCCAGGGATGGGGCTACAGAAACCTCAGTCATGCCCATTCTTTTTAAAAAAAAGGTTTTTTTCACCTGATATCAGCTTTGGAATTAGGACCAAGTTGTTTTTATATCTATAAATATAAAAACACACAGGCTATTTACTCCACTGTAAATTCCTTTTCAGTCTCTAGCAGGGTGTGCTCAGGCTGCTGAAGCACGGGATTGGTTTTTTGAAACCATTCAGAGTTAAACTGAATTGTTCCTAATTACAAGAGCACAGCAGCACTACAGGTTTATTCTGGGGGAAAATGGAGCATAATGATGTTTATGCAGCTATAATGAGTTGTGAGGGTGCTTAACACAATCTCGTGGCTCTTCGTACACACACACAACCCCTCCCAACGATCCATACGTGTCCCTCTAAGTCTGGAGGTGACTTGGGACGATCCAAAGGCCTTTTAGCACCATCCCATTTCTTCCCCCATTTCCAGCATGCCCTGCAGTGGCCACCACTCCTGGAGCACAGCATGGTCTGTCTGACCAGGGTGTCTCCACCAAGCAGAGCAAACAGGACTCAGGAGGTGCCTTCAACCCCATCAAACGTGGGGGACACACCCACCTTGGAGCTGAACTATCCACACTCAAAACCATCCCCATTTTCATGTCTTTCTCGAGGCTGGAGAAGGCACATGAGCTCCATCCCAGCTCCACACCACAAAAGCTGAGGTGAGGTCTCGTGGTCCTTAAAGCCCAGCCACCACCACCATGACTTACTGAGTTATGTGAAAAACACCCGTAACCTCTGGGAACAAGGACTTACAGAGCAGGCTCCAGCACCATCTCCAGACACATGGATCCACAGGGCCTTCTTCCCCAGGTGTCCTCTCTGCTCCAACAGACCAGTCTTTTGGGAGGCACATCTGTATCCATAGGTCCTCACCCTCCCAAAGGAAAAAGCTCGGGAGAGCCACTGCTTTCCATCCCCCTGCATGGCAGACACCTCCAGACAAACCCCCTCTCTCTATTCTGTCTCTAGGTGTGGCCCTGGGCTGGGTCCAGCCCTTTATCTCCTCCCCTCTTGGCAGCCAATTCTCCCAAATCTGCTGCAGCTGGATCTCCACTCAGCACTTGACTGGCCTCACCTGTAGCTCAGCTCCTCTGGGCCCAGCTCTGTGAACTCCAGCAGATCCAGCCCAGCTGCCCAACCTTGTTTAAAACACCTGAGAAAACTGCCAGGGAGACTCACACGAGCCAAGAAAGGAAAAGGAAGAGATGTGGTTGAGATGGAGCCACTCCCAGCTGGAGGATTCAGAGGAAAAACCTCGAGGGGGGAGTGCTAAGGGGACAGTCCTGGCACTGGAAACATCAGGTGAGGGAGCGGTTGCACGGAGCAAGGAGTGAGATGCTGCTCACCTTGAGGGAGCAAAGCCCCCATTATCCACCCCCCCCTAGGAATACCTACTGCTTTTAAAGCTGAGCAAACATAGGGATGGCACTTTTCCAAGCCTGAGGCGTCAGCAATACCTAATCAGAAATGGTTCATTTAACATGCCTCAAAACTGCCTTTGATGTGGTCCCACACCAGTGTAGTGGAGGCAGCTTTGGGCCTGGCAAACCCTGGGACAGACTAGTTATGGTCCAGCACTGAGGGGAGAGGGAGCCAAGGCAGGATGCAATCACAGGGATGGATCCCTATCCCGGGATACCAAACTTGCACATCACATGGGAAAAACTGTTTAGTGGTGAACATGGTGGTGGTGCTGCATTGGTGGTTGGACTTGATGTTCATAAAGGTCTTTTCCAACCTTAGCAATTCTGTAATTCTATGGAATTACCCTCTGTGGTACCCATTTCCTTACTGTCAGGGTCCAGAGGGATTTTAGAAAGAGGCAGACATTCAGTTCAGCTTTTGCATCAACAGATGTGGCACAATACCTCAAGGACCATAAAATCAGGGTGCTCAGAGGCTGCCACACCTGGATGCCACCCATGGCAGAGGTCCCGTGGCTGCTGAATTTATTCCCAGCCTTTTCCAGGTGCAACAAACCCTCTCCAAAACAGGCCCTGGTTTTCTTTGCCGGGAGCTCACTCAGCCTTTGCTTGGGTGATGTTTTCATAGCCACTTCTGCAAACCCACCAGCAAGAGGATTTCTTGCTCTTGCCATCTTCCTCCAGCGACCGGAACCTCCTGTTGAAGCCAGGACTGGCACAAGGCTGTGTCCCTTCTCCCAGAATCTCTGCTGAGAGCGGATCCGCTGGGAAAGGCACGGTGTCCAAATGGTAGTGCAGGGCCAGCCCTTAAGCTGGACCTGACTTGAATCCTTTGGGTTTATTTACCAAAACCCGGGCCTGGGTAGGTGCCGTGGGGCAGCGCTGACCCAGCTCTCTGGTCAAAGGCCTGCGGGGAGCCGGGAGATAGAGCAGGTTAACGTTTAACCCCGGGGACTGTAAACCAGCCCCGGGGCTGCTGAACCTTTGGAGTTTGATATGATGATTGGGGAATAACCGGAGTGACACGTCGCAAACTCTCCATAATCAAGGAGACCTCTTTCCCGGGTGGGGATCTCCAAAATTGCTCAGGTACGTGGCCGCGCGTTCCGCCCGCGGGTTTTGGGGTGTGGGCACCGGGGCTCCCGCGGAACGGGGCTGTTGGCTGGGATGGGGAAGGAGCGGCTCCGCCGTGTGCCTTCCACCCCCTGGCAGTGCCCCACCATCAGAGCCGTGCTTTGGGGGCTGCCTGACATCAGCAGGGCTGGGCTGGGGGGGCCGGACCCTCGCACCGGCACAGCCCCGCACCGCTCGCTTCGGGCTGGTGCTGACCCCGGTGGGGAGAGCGGGGCTCCCCGCGCCCCCCGGCACAGCTTCTGCCCGGCAGCAGCGGCAAAGAGCTTTTTTTTCCCTGCTTTCCTCCCTCTGACCGCGGTTTTCTGGCGGTTGCCAGAAAAGCGCAGGCAGACGAGGCGGAGGGGGGAGGAAGGGTTTTCCCCGCCGCAATTCGGGCTCGATCTGTTAAAGCGCAACTTTCCGGGGCTAATCATTAGAGATATTCCCAGCCGACCTCTCACTCCTCCTCCTCTTTGCAAAAGGTCAGTCCCCGGAGCGAAGGCGATCGCTGGTCCTAAGAAACCCTCAGTTTTCCCTAATGCCTTCAAACCATCAGGCTTTCTGCCCAACACACAGTGCCTGCCTTAAGCTCTTTCCCTCGGTGAAACAGCAGCTCCGGGTGGGAGCAGGCACGGGAGCAAGGCTGGTTTCAAAGTACCCGGCACATGATGCTGCAAATAAAAACAGGAGGGAGGGAGGCTGGGCCGGGCATCAGCTGCTCTTAGTCCTCAGAGAGGGCTTTTTGGGGCGTTTTGTGTGCGTTTGGTGACAGAGCTGCCAAAGCTGTGTGCAGGAGGAAAGGCGTTTCCAAGGGAGAAGGTGAATCCCAGGGAAAAGGGCCCGAGCAAAGAATTTGCTGGTTTAGGTGTGAAATGTTTTCTCAAGGCTCCGTGTGCTGCAAAGGGTGAAGAGCTTTCACCTTGCTTCTGGTTTATGCTGCTTTCCTGCAAATACCTGTGAGTTCCCATCTTCTGTGGAACCCCCTGAGCTGGAAAACAACCCTATGCCCTGGAAAAGCAAAGGGACAAAAGCCTCGTGCCCCATTGCTCAATCAGACTCTGTCCTGCAGCGTCTCACAACAGCAAAGAGCTGGGGTCAGCTCATGAAGCTCCAAGTGTCTGGTTTGGGGAAGAAAATGACGTATGTTTAGTGTTTATGTAGGTATATAAATGAATATATATTGCTTGGAGCCCGGAGGGAGGAAAAAAACCCTCAAAACCTTGATAAGCTAAAGGAAAACAGTTTCTCCAGTTTGGATTATTATGGGTAAAGAGTGAATATAATTATCCAGTGTTTCCAGAGGTTGTTATTCCTCATGAGGAGCAATTGCACCGGGGGAGTACCAGCACAAAACAGCCTTCATGAGATGTGTCCAAGTGACTCACCACGTTCAGACACGAAGGTGTATCGACCCCTGCAGGATAAACAGGGTTTCATTATCTCATTCATGGAAACAGTAACCAGGTTTCCCCGAAAGGGCTGCCAAGGGGCAGGCTCTGGCCTCAAATACCACCTTTCCTCCCCTCAGCAAAAATCCTGGCATTGGAGCCATCCCTTGGAGGAGGAAACAAACCCCCCGCTTTTCCAAGCAACTAACCCAAAAGTGAAGTAAAATGCACATTTTGGGGGTAAAAGCTGGATTCATCTTGCTCCTGGATGGATGGAGCAAAGCTGTGGGACCTGCCTGTGGCAGCTGGTAAGGAAACCATGTGTACAAGTAACCATGGGGAGGTGAAGCGGTATTATAATAGTTTTGTTTCTTGTTGGTGTGAGATTTGCAAGGCATAAAAGTGCCTTGGCATTTTAGAGCTTTAGTAGAAATCTAAAATAAATGAGAGTGTTCAGTGGAGAGAGGAAAATCAAACTCAGTGATGCTCTGATTTCAGGTAAAAGCAGCTCCTTCCTTTTCTAATAGCACTTGATTCTGTGACCGTGATAACTTGGTAGCATTGTCAAAACTTCATCAAAATTGAAGGTGAAATAGGAAACTCCAGGACAATTTGCACTTCCAAAGGTGTTAATTTCAATACAAACATCTGAAAAAAATGCAACCTCCCCCCCTGCACTTTTTTCTTTTCTGTTTAGCTGGTGGCCCTTCTTAATAACAATCCATTTTAAGGGCAAGCCCCTGAAATTGGTTGATTTCCAGAACAATTATTTCTACTAAGTGTGCTTGGCTTGATTCTTTTTTAAAAACAGTGTTAAAAACACTGCCTTAATTTGCTGCAGTCATTCACACTTTCCATCAGCAGCCATGCAAGGGGGGTTTTCCCACTGTGAGGGTGGATTTGCTAATTGATTCATGGCCCAGGGAACAAAGAAGGAGAGAAAGTAGTCGTGTTTCCCCCGGGTGACAGCAGCTCTCCTCCCTTACCCTTAAGGTAAAAAAAAATATCCCAGTACACTGGCAGCACTGCAAGGACTGAGGCTGAGGCCTGGAATCAAGGGAAAGTGCTGAAATCCCACCAGTTTCAGAAATAAAACATCCCACCGTGACTTGTGTCCTGGAAATAGTCTGGATGCACTGCTGGGCAAGTGGAGAAGTGGCTCTTAGGGACGTGGGTTAGTGCTGGAGGTGGCAGTGAGGGGGAACGGTTGGACTCGATGATCCTGGAGGGCTTTTCCAATCTAAATGATTCCATGATTCTGTGCTACGGGTGAAAGAGGTGGAAAAGTGCCCTGCTCAAAAAGGTGTTTAGATGTCCTTAGGCAGGGGAGGTAGGAGAGAAGGGGGAAAGCAGAAGCACTTGGAATATTGGGGGTGAAAATCCTGTTTTGCTGTGCTTGGGGTTCATCGTGTCGGGATTTGTAGCTCTTGATAAAAGAGAGGTTTGTTTTCTGTTTCCATCCCAGAAAAACCCCACTGATGGAGGAAAGCTCTTTAGAAATGAAGTTTATAAATTACTTGTGGATGACTTTGGGCTGGTAATTAGCAGGAGTGACCTAATTTCTAGGAGTGATGCTACAAACCTGTTCTCAAGAGGTTGTCTGTGTGCGTGTCCAAGCCCTGAGCGTGCAGCCTTGTCCAGTCCTGGCCTCCTCTTGAAGGAGGAGTGGAGGCTTGCAGAGTAACTCAGGCTGGAGGTGCCCTGGGCTGGGGGTCTCCAGCTGGACCCCACTTCCAGCAGGACTGATGCCACAGTTGTGACAGGCAGGTCGAGCCACCCCGGGGATGGGGATCCTCCACCTCTTACACACGAAAGGGCCGTTTCCCTGGGTCAGCCTGGGCTTTCTCCAGGAGCATGTGGAAGCACCAGGCACAGATTAGGGCCAGATCATCGTTTACACACCCCCAAGACACCACATTTTGCAGAGGCTGTGATTAAAACTTTATGCAACCTTGAGTGCTCTTGCTCCCTTATCCCTCATGGATTGTTTCAGCGTGTCCTGGAGTACCCCAGTGTCTAGACATGCTTGTCTATAGCCTGAAATGTTTGCAGGATGCCTTGTGAGAAGAGCCCAGAAAAGCTCGCCTGTCTTATCTCAGAAGGCAGGAGCCAGAGGGATATTGCTCCTGCTGCAAATGCATCAGCCAGGGACGTGCTCTCTTCCCACCCAGCCCCGCAGCCTGTGCTCAGTGCTCAGCGTTAAACCATCCCCGGGAGTGAGACGTCGCTGGAAATCGCTGCTCCCGGGGGGAAGAGCTATGGAGATGTCTGGCATTTCGGGCTCCACATGCAAATGCATTCCGAGCTGCAGCCGTGCAGACACCCGGCCTGCGAGTGCAGCGGGAAACTACGATTTGAGGGGGGAGGGAGGAGGAAAAAGGCTCTTGCGCTCCTCAGCTATGTAGGTCACGGCTGGGGGCAGGCTGGGAAGCTCACCCGCCGTGGAAAGCCGCCGAGGTTTTGCCTGGCTGCGGTCCAGCCGCTTTCCCGGCACGGAGAGGATGCTGTGCCCGCCGGCTGCAGGCATCCCGCTGCCTTCCCGCTGCTCCGACCGCCGGGGCAGCCTCCGGGGCTGCAGCACCGGTACACCCGGGAGAGAAGGGAAAATCTGGGTAAATCCAAGAGAAACCCGCGCGGAGCAGCCGCCCCTTTTCAGCCCCAGCCTTTGAGGTGCGTGATGATGGCTCGAGTCCAGCCCTAAGGGCTGACAGAGAGAGACCCGTGGGGCACTGTGCAGATTTACCCCGCTCCGATCCCTCAGCCCCCTGCCGACACCGGGATGCAGCAAAAGCAAAAATCCAAGGGGCCGAATTCGCGGCTTTGCTCCAGAGGGCTCGTTCAGGGTGTGTCTGCCCAGGCAGGGCAGGATGCAAAACCAATCTGGATTTTAACTGTTGTTTTTTGTTTTTTTTTTAACGATCACTTTCTCCTTCTTAAGCAGGCTGGGAAAGGATCCAGCTGGTCTGTGCACAGCAGTGTGCTGATCCTGCCCCGTGCCGTGCCAGCTCCGGAGGGGGTGGCAGGCACAGGTACCACGAGCACCGATGGGGCTTTGCTGCCACCCTCAGCAAGGGCAAAACGAACCTATAATTGGGTTGCTGTTGCTCCAGAAAACACTCATTTGGGAATTAGAGACGGGAGAGAGCTATTGCATTGAGCCATTCACCTCCCAGCCCCTGCACGTTGGTGGTAATCAAAACACTGGAGAACGTGGGAGCGTGGGAAAAATCAAGTAAAATCAGAAGGATCTCGCAAAGCTCCACAATAAATAGCTCCAAAATCTGGCATTTCGGAGGTGTCTCTGTTTCCAAGTGTTTGAGTCACAGTCTCTGGAGCTCAGTGTGGCAGGGCCCGAGTGAGACAAGGCTGAGATCCTCCAAACACCCATTTTTGGCACTGAGAATAATCCATCTACTTAAGTTTAAGGCACCTCTTTAAGTCCTCCAGGATCCAGAGCCATAGGAGCACAGAGCAAGGAATGTCCAAAGGCAAAGTGGCCTGCCCCAAACCTTACCTTTCCCCTCAAGGAGCCCCCAGAGCAGCATGTGTTAGTTAATAGAAGTGTTTGGTGTGAAACAGCTGCTTCCTGGAAAAGGGTTTTTCTGTTATTTCCACGGCATTGTGAAGCACTCAGGAATTCTGCCACAGCTGGATATATTGCCCTTCTTTGCCTGCATTTCTTTATGTGCAGTGCCCATGTTAAGTGCACCAAGAGACCTGCTGTACAGTGGGATTCTTTCATGTCTTTTCCCTAAAATCTGGATGTGGCCACAGCAATCCATCTTCCTTCCACTTTTCTGTTTCTCTGGATTTCCCTTCTCCTCTACCCAGCACCCCCACCACCATCCCATGCCCTTCCCCATCCCTGTGCCACAGGGGGTCACAGGGTGTCCCATTCCCCTCCTTCCCAGGACACCCCCCTTTTGGCCCTTTTGGCCCTGTTTGCTCTCCCAGCAATCCCAGGAGTTATCACCTTGCCTTGCCTGCACTTTTCTACAGCTAAAAGCAATTTAAGGCAAAACAACCATTCTGGATGACGCAGTTTAGGGGTTTCCTGCTACAAAGTTCTTGGTCCCCCCAGCCCTGGTTTTGCCCTTGCTGGTGTTCAGCACCAGCCCATCACCACGAGGCCTCAAGCTCAGCACTGCACCTGCTGACCCTTCTCTGTGTCTGGCACGTCCAAACGGATTTTGGATGAGCCCAAAGCTCAGCATTCAGGAAAAACGGGACATTCTGAAATGACAGGTGGTGAGTCCGCCTTACAAACACCCCCTTGCCAGTGTGGAACCCGAGTCAGACTCAGATTTCGGTTTTATGGTGTTTTCAACCCAAATCCAGAACTTTAAAAAAAAAAAAAAATTCCACAATTAGCCAGGAGCTAAAACTACAGCTCTGAACAAAAACATCCAAACCCCAGCCCCAAACCCAGACAAGATCTGAAGTTCTCCCATGTTCTTTATTTTGAAAAATAAAAATAGGCCAAATTTGGACCCAGGGCTTGTTTTTCATAAAGGGCTGGGCATGGTTGGTAGGAGGTTCCCTTTCCAGTGTCAACATCATGCCATGGCCTGAAGGACCCATTGTCACATACTCAGTGCAGGACTAAGCATTTGACATATTTCCCCCTCCTAAGACTCGAGCACTACTGGTGGGTTACAAATTCCCCCTGCATCTCACTGGAGCACTATCCAAAATCTGGCTGTGGGTTTAAATGCTATTTACTTTCATGCTCAGGGGAGATAAATTTTGCTTTTTTTTCCCCCCATGGTCGCTGTTGTTTTGTGTTGTTTTTATCTCAGAAATAACCGATTTAGGAAGAACGACCCTGTTGTCTTTCTCAGGAGGGTGGACTTTCTCCTCCGAGCCGTATTAATTGATTTAATTTATCTTAAATTTGATTGCAGTGAGCACCCCTAATTAACCTGATTTTTTGCTGATAATCACTCACAATGGAATCAAATCACAAATCCGGGGATGGATTGACCGGCACACAGAAAGAAGCCGCCCTCCGTGCCTTAATTCAGCGAACGGGATATAATTTGATCCAGGTAGGAATTCATGGTCACATCCTTTTGTGTGCAGTGTCCAGCTTCATCCTGGAGCTTCAGCAGGGGCTCAAGCAGGAAATCTGCACATGAGGTGCTCCTGGCTCATTCCTTTTCCCTCTGTTTTTCTCTGACACGTGTGCTGTCCTTAACCACATGGAATAGGTGCTGTCTTTCGTGAAGCAGGATCTTATTCCTCCGGGAATCCACTGCTTAATGCAAGGTTATGGTTAAAAAAACCACGATAAAAAAAACCAGCCCTGAGCACTGCTAAGTGAAGGTTGGGATTGGTGCCTCAAAGCCACGGCTGCAGAGGTAGTTCAGCAAATAAAACCCACCCGATAAAGCTTCAGAAGAGCGTGGCTGGACTGAGCCGGTCAGCCTTTTGTATAGATACAGGTGAGGCAGGTGCTTCACCTGCCCAGACACCAAAGGTTTGCTCCCAGCTTAGTCTTCAAGGTCTCCAAGATCAAGGCCTCCTGTGGTGGCCTCCAAGGTGGAGAGTGGGCATGTCCTTCCAAACCCACCTGAAGAAGTGTTTCTCAATTAACACCACCAAAACGAGCTGCTTTTTCGAAACCACTGGGCACTGATATGACCGACTGTGCATCCTGGAAGAAGTAGCTGAAACCACTGAATTTTAGGCAGGTGGAGGCCTTGAACTTTGCCTTGCTTTGCATAGCACTAGAGGGCACAACAGCCCAAAGCAAAACCCGAGATTCCTGGGAAAAAGCGTTTTCCTGGAGCCCTCAATCCGGTGTGCCCCAAGACCAGGCCAGCTGCTGGGTTTGTTAGCCCTGAGGTGGCTTTTTACTGTACCTGACCCAGAAGAGAAGTGACTTCTCTATGTCTTATATTTACTGTGGCTTTCTTAGAATCCCAGAAACCCAGACTGGTTTGGGTTGGAAGGGATCTTGAAGCCCATCTCATCCCACCCCCTGCCATGGGCAGGGACACCTTCCACTAGCCCAGGTTGCTCCAACCTGGCCTCGGACACTTCCTGTTATAGGGTCAAGAAAACTAAAAGACCTTCTGGTATATTCCTATTTTCCTGTAAGGATCCCTGTTTGCTGACCTGCTTTAGGCCTTCCTCCAAAGTCAGCTGTACAGGCATTCGCTTGCCTGGGATAATCCCAGAGTGGGGAGTGACCAAAGAAATGGCCAGGGAGCCAAAAATAGAAAAAGGACTGGAGTCCCAGCTCCTCTGGTAGGACAGGAGAAGGAAGAGAGGAAGGAAGGAAGGAAAGGGAAGGAAGGAAGGAAAGAGGGAAGGAAGGAAGGAAAGAAGGAAGAAAGGAAGAAAAATTAAACAATACAGGAAAGATAATTAAAAATAGGAGAACAGAGACACATCCATCTAGCAAAAACATACCAAAAAGAGGAAATATTGACTGGTCTTCACAGCTGTTGGGGACCAAGATCTGCCCTCTGCCTGAGGGAGCTCCTGGGGAGGCAGGTGTCACCCTTTGCCCCTCGTGGGGCCACCCACCATTGATGGCCCTGCTCTGTCCCTGCCGTGGGGCTGTCTCTGCCATCTCCTCTGCCCAGTCCTCCTCCTCTGAAATCCCTGGCACAGTCACAGAAAGTGCTGCCCCACTCCTGGGAGCAGGAAAGGGGGGGTATCAGGGTGCACCACGTCTCCATGCCCACCTCCAGGTCCTCCCCACGCCTTGTGCCAGGCACTGCTTCCTCTCCACTCTCCCAGCTGCTGGCACAAAAGTCTCTCTTCAAGGGCACTGAGCAGCTCCAGCACAACCTGATGCCAACAGTGCCCAGGGCTCACCGGCTGGACCCCTGCACTCCCATCTCTCTCCCAGATTTTCCCCTGCATGGCCCACCTTTCCCTCTCTGTTGGCTCTTTCTGAGGTCCTGATGCCTTCTGGTTTTGGAAGGTCCTTCTGCTTTCAAACACAGCCCTTCTGGTACCTTCTCTTTGCTCTGTAGAGTAGGAAGCTCTCCATCAGTCACCGAAATAAGAGGTGATTTCATTGTTAATAAATGTTCATGATTGGATGAAGAATCATGACAAGTTATAAGTGTTGCTGGTGCTCTGTTACACAGTCCACAACTGACACACAGCCCACAGAGATTCCCCTCCCAGAGCCAGGGAGACATTTCCCAGGCAATTTTCTGACCATCTCCATCTTGGACACCCGAAGTAGCAACTGAGTTGAATGTTCCTTAGCAAAACTCAGTACAAACCACACCCTTCCCCAGTACATCCCCAGTAGCCTGACAGGGTTATCCAGGTACACATTTGGCAGTGGGACAACCATTCCACACCACGTTACCTCCGAGGAGTCTGGGAAGAGCTGCTCCTTGAAGGGAAGGAGGGTGCCTGCCTCCAGCGTGTCTTAAGTGTCATTCCCTGAGAAGGGATCCATGTTTAAAAACCTATCTCTAAATATATCTAATCTCTATCTTTCCTTTCTCTCCGTGGCAGGAAAATGGGCAGAGGAAATACGGAGGACCCCCACCGGGCTGGGATGGGCCTCCCCCGGAGAGGGGCTGCGAGATCTTCATCGGGAAACTGCCCCGAGACCTCTTCGAAGATGAACTTATCCCACTGTGCGAGAAGGTGAGCCTGCATGGAGGGTGGGGGCATTGCAGGGGCTGTGCTGGTCAGAGCTGCCTTTCAGGGCTGAACCAGAGGTGATTCCAAGGCCAGGTTGGACGGGGCTTGGAGCAACCTGGGCTAGTGGGAGGTGTCCCTGCCCATGGCAGGGGGTGGGATGAGATGGGCTTTAAGGGCCCTTCCAGCCCAAACCAGTCTGGGATTCTGTGATGATTTGGCCCAGATGACTGGGCGAGCTCTGATCTTTAAACACCTCCCACCTTGCTGACAAACCTCTTTCTGGTTTGCAGATTGGCAAAATCTATGAAATGAGAATGATGATGGACTTCAATGGCAACAACAGGGGCTATGCCTTTGTGACCTTCTCCAATAAACAGGAGGCGAAGAACGCAATAAAGACCCTCAATAATTATGAAATTAGGTAAGCCTGGCAAACACCTCCACATCAGCTTTAAACCACAGACAGCTGGTGTGGTGTGTAAGGTATATTTTTCCTCGCGGCCCCAGAGCAAAGTTATTTAGATACCTGAGCTTTGAGAGGAGATCTACTCTTGTCTCCCTGTGCAGTTGCTGCTTTCTGCCCTGGTCCAAAGGACTCTTCAGAGTCAACGTCTTTTGCAGGGAATTTCTTACAAAACAACAACAGAAAAATCCATCAGGACATCGGGGAAAAAAATATTTTGCTTTGGATCAAATTAACTTTCCCCCAGGCATTGCTGTTTGTTTCACCTTCCCCTCTGAGCTGTTTGTTGTTGATTTATTCCTATTCACAGCCTCTCTCATGACAGATACCGTGGATGTGTTCTGGGAGACAGAGCAATTGCAAAAAATGCTGAAATAGGATGGAAACCAATTGGCAGAACAGTGACATTTCCTAATAGAAAGGAGCAGAAAAAGCCCTCATGGTTGTGACTAAAAACTGGGAACAAAACACCCAGAAATCAACAACATATGGGCCCATCAATATGTTTTGTTTTGATTTCAACCACACTTACTGTTTTTTTCCAGTTCAAAGTGGGATGAGTAGATGTCTCTGCTTAAAAGCCCTTTGACATAAACCATTCTGGCAACTTTATGGCTTTCATTTTTGTTTTTAATAAAAAAAGATGGGTTGTGAACTGCTTTACTAGCAACCCTAAGGATGAGCAGATCACAAGGCACAGAAATGTGATTTGTATCAGAGGCTGGAAGGTCTCAGGGATCAGGCTTCATCCACCTCCACCTCCTCCACTTCCTTCCCTTGTTCCAAAGACTCCTCTAAATAAGTTTTTGACTTCTCAAGACCTGTAAGAGATACTTTGACCACGAAGAGGTGAACAAAGCGCGTGTAAGGGAGTTTTTACTTCGGGATCTGCACAGCAGTTGCCATCAGTGAGGCCCCAGATGGTGTCTCTCCGTGACAAGGGATTTTCTTTCCCCAAAACCTCAGTTGTGAGGCCCAGTCACGAGTGGGAAGCCACAAGTCACTGATGAATGCAACAGATCTTGGCTCATACTGGGTGGCAACACAGGGGTCAGTGCTGTGACCCCTGGGTGTGGGCACAGCTGCCTGGTAGCAGCAAAGAGCAAAAGGGAGAACCCCAGGAAGCAAAAGCAAAGTCTGACTTTGTTTTCTCCCTGCCCTCAAATCCTTCATTTCAGCTGTGCTGCCTGACTGATGTGAGATTTAGCAGAGTGGCAGCCTCTGAGCAAGAGCACTGGAGTATCCGAAACAACACCCGGCTCAGAAGCAGGAGGCCTCGCGTTTTGGGACGAGAGAGGGGGTTTGTTTTAACCTTCCCCTCTCTCTGCCCCCGACAAACCAGCAGTGTCTTTTGTGCTCAGGAACGGGCGGCTCCTGGGGGTGTGTGCCAGCGTGGACAACTGCCGCCTGTTCGTGGGGGGGATCCCCAAGACCAAGAAGAGGGAGGAGATTCTGGCGGAGATGAAGAAGGTGACGGACGGCGTGGTGGACGTCATCGTGTACCCCAGCGCCGCCGACAAGACCAAGAACAGGGGCTTTGCCTTCGTGGAGTACGAAAGCCACCGGGCAGCAGCCATGGCCAGGAGGAAACTGCTCCCAGGTCAGCACAGAGGGAAGGGTTTGGCTCAGGGGGGCGATTCACTGCAGCTCCCGGGGGAGCACCGCGCTGGTTATCCACGCTGGGCACTCAGGAGCTGGAGTTTGGTAAGATACAGCTGGATGGATCTGGGCTGCGTGTGTCCAGACAGCTCTGCTGGAGGGTGTGTTTTATCATGTGGTTATATTTGGGTTATACATAAAACACAGCCTCTGTTATGGCCTCTCTGAGGGAATCACTCAGGAAAGCACCCGAGAACGGATTCATTCTTGAGAAAGTACTGAGGGTGCTCCAGAAAACAGGTTATTTTCCGTGTGGGAAGAAAATTTTGAGTGAGGAACTGCTTTAAACAATGTTGAGAATAAGTCTATGAAATTTAGTGCTGGGGGACAGACAAAGGCCACTGTGAAGCAGAGAGGGGTTTAGCAGGTGTTAGATGAAGAAGTCACTTAACATTCAGTGCATTTGCAGGAGTTTCACCACTTTCCTCTTGCTTTCTTATGTTCTTATGTTTCTTATGTTCTTATGTTCAACAGCTTCTGCACTGCTTTGTTGAACCCAGCTCACTTGCTGGGGAAAGCATCCAAAAAACCTCCTGGTCTGAGACTTGTTCATAACCCACCAGCCTTCTTTCACCTGTTCTATCTGACAGCCCATGAAACATCCTGCATAATTTAAATCCTTTTTACTTACTGTGAAAAAAAAAAAAAAGAGCATGATTTGAGCACTGAACACTCTTGGATATTGTGGGATATCTCACACTATTCTTCCTTTTATTCTGCGTTTTCTGCGTCACTTCAGCAGAACTCCCTGACTGTGGGAGCACATTCAGCTGCTCTGTGCTTCAGCACCACTCTTCCATGGTTTCTCCATGGAGAAGGAAGGCAGGAGCAGGCAGAGCCACAGCTGCCAACCAGCCTCGAGGGAACAGGGCGCTTGAAATCCTGGGCAAAGGCAGCGAGACAGATGGAAGGGGCACACGTGAACAGACATGTGCAATTTCCAGTTTGGGGACATCTCAGCAAACAGTTTTTGGGAATTTCAAAGGCCTGAGCAGGAGCCAGACATCTTCTGATGTTCCAAACATACAGCAGGAACTGCAAAAAAGTTCCAAGCCAGAGCTGAATGTGTGTCCAGGGGATTCACTGGATGGATGAGAGGTGGAATATCCTTATCAAGACCCTTCCTTTAGTCTGAACCTCGCTGCTCTTTGAGGGAGCTCTGTAGAAGAGGCAGAGATGCTCAAAAATGGAGCTTAAAAAAATTTAAAACCTTGTCCTGTCTCCTGGCTAAAACAAGAGGGTGGAAGTTTAGCAAGAGGCTGGTGCAGGACCAAGCTCAGCTCCTTGCTGCAAGTCAGCTGGGTTGTTATTCCCACTACTGAGCTGGAAATAGCAGTTCAGAAAGGGGCACATAACCATGAGCACCCATCTCTCTGTTTCTGCTCACCAGTGGCTCAAATCAGACTGTGCTGTGCTGAAAGCTGAACATCAGCTCGGCCTCACTCCACAGCCCCTGGCTCGTTCGTGAGGGATTCAGAGGGAGCAGCATCTTTCCATTCAGTTTGATCATTTACACTTCCAATACAGAAAAACGAGTCTCCAAATCCTACCCTCAGCCTCTGATTTTGTAGCTCCCACCCCATCTTAGATGGGTTATCCAAGCAGAGCTGCAGTGTAGGATGCCTTTTTAGATCTGGCAAGGAAAGTTTTGCAGGATTTTCTTTTTCCCTTCTGTTGCAAATGATTGGTTTAGGCCATTTAAATAATCACCAGCAGAGTATCAACAAAAGCTGATTTAACATAAATTTGCAAAGGCACGACAAAGTTTTATGGCAATGTTGACTCTGTTACTTACTAAATAGATAAAACACACAAAGAAAAAACAGATTAAAGCAATCTAGAATGATTTATCTGGGAGGCAAAAGGGTAAGGAGGGAAACAGTAAGGGAGTGAACCCCCTTGCCAAACTTAGCCTGGACTCGATCAATGGTTTGGATCTAAACGATTTATCAATTGTAACATTACCTAACTCAACTCAACAGCAGCACTTCTTAATATATTGACTAATTTAACATCAATAAAACGGTTCAATTGAATTCTGCCTAAGTGCAACACAACCATATATCCAACTTGACCATTAATTTAATTATAAAATCTAAAATGGCAACATTTGCAATACACGCGCACGCAGAGATAAAGTGCAGACAAAGTGCACGGGAAATTCCCCTTGAATCCAGGGAAATGCTCCTGTCGGATGCCTTTGCATGTCCCCAGGGGGCGGAGGGTTGAGCCTTGAGGAGCGGAGGCGTCGCCCCGGGCTGTGTCCCCAGCGTTCAGCCCCTCGGTGCCACCCGGGGAAGGCGGCAGGTGAAGAAACCATCGCTCCCCGAGCTCCCTGTGCCTTGCCCGGGGTGCTGCTCCTCACTGCCATTCCCACAGCTCTGGGACGAGTCCCTCTCGGTTACATATTAAACGTCACTAATTGACCAAGCAGCTACTTAAGGGATTAGGTGGCTCGGTGCAGACGATTATGGACCTCAGTGTGATAAGGACAGACACCACCACCTTTAACCACCTCTTTGTTTGCTCTTCGTGTTCTCTGCCCCTCAGCAGCTCATCCACAGCTTAGAGAGCCCCGGGGCTCACCCTCCACACCCACACCCTGGTTTATGCCTCGTTATTTTTTGTGTCCCTCCTTTCTTCTGCTGCAGCTTCACCCAGCGGGGCCCAAAGGAATTCAAACACACGCAGAGACATCCCTGCTTTTGCTGTTTCATTTCATCCAGCCAGGACTTCAGGATCCCTTTTTGTGTTATCTAAGGAATGAAGCTTTTGCAGCCAAAAGGGATTTTTATACAGTTCCCTTTGAGGGAGCGCTCCAGGGAATGTGGAATTTAGTGAATGATGCCATATTTCCATTTCTTTCAATTCTGGACGCTGTATTTCTGCAGGCACCTGAACTATTGGTGGGAGCAGGCTCCAAGTGTGACCATCTGCTTTCGGAAATGAGTTAATGAAGCAGCAGTGCTTGGAGCTAGAAAGGCTTTTCTGGTTGTGTTTGGAGAATTTGGCCCGCTCTGCTGCTCACACTGCACACGAAACAGTGTCTGAGCAGAAGGGAGAGGAACCAGAGCCTGTCTGAAACACTGACCATGCCAATCCCTTTAAAGGAAGGATCCAGCTCTGGGGACACCCCATCGCCGTGGACTGGGCAGAGCCAGAGGTGGAGGTGGATGAAGACACCATGTCATCAGTAAAAATCCTCTATGTGAGGAACCTCATGCTCTCCACCACTGAAGAGACCATAGAAAAGGAGTTCAACAGCATCAAACCAGGTAGGAGCCCCCTGATGCTGCAGCTCCTGAATAAACGCCACTTCTGCAAGTGGAAATATTTCTCTGGTCATAAAATGCCAAAGGAGGAGATAAAAATAGCTGGTTCTCTGCTGTGAAACGTTCCTGTGTAATGCCACAAAAATGGTCATTAGGCTGAAGGCTCCCACCCAACTTGCACACCATGTCATCCCATTAAGGGCAGCTTATTTTCCAGCTAACGACACTGCTAACCTTTTTTGGGGGATTGGCAACTGGAAGAGATCCAAAATGCTGCATGGGGATGCCTGTGTCATAAAAATGATTTGGAATCATTTCAGTTCTTTCTTTAAAAAAAAAAAAAGAGAGAGAGCTGGTGAAGCAGCTGGGTGATTTCAACATTCTTCTATGGCAAGGAATGACAAAAATAGCGTGATTTAATACAAATCCTTTTTATCTAATCTATCTAAATTCTGAACTCTGTAATTTTCATACATCCCTTCCCCCCCCCCATTCTCCTGTAAATTTGTGAATAATCAGCATTTATATTACACGCACTTAGGGTGAGGCTTTTCAAAAAGCAAGTAGATTTGTTGGGGATAAAAATCCTGCTGCCTTTCCAAGGAGATTTTACTTCTGAGCAGCTCCAGCTTTAGGAAATTCCACCCAAAACCAACAAAGTAAAAATAACCCGTTTCTGCAGCTCTCCAAGCCACACAGTCCATTAGGCATTAGGAACTTTTGCTTGGCAATGTGAATCTCCTTTCATCTCGTTCCTATTAACTTCCTTCTATTAATTTTTTAAAATACACTACAGAGCTTCATTTTTCCTTCACCAACTTTTCATGTCTGCTCTGTACATGCCTTTTACTGTACTGGGCTGCAATGCAAAGCTCCTTATGAGGTTTTCTTGTGTCCTTCCAACATTTCTGCCTGATACTTTTAGCCACCACCAAGCTGTTGGAGACCCCATTTTACCCCTGAGTTAAATTTATGTCATCACCCTCTCTTAACTGTTTCCTTCTTTGATTTACCCAGTTTTGCTGCTGAGCACTGAACAGCTCACACTCCCCAGAAACACATTTATGCCCCTTTGACACTTTGGTAACAGTCATCTGCTCTGCTCCTAAGGCAAGTTTTCCAGTACAGCAGCAGAAGTTCTGTATCATCTTTAATTTTCACTTCATCATTTCAGCGCTCGTGTTGGAATTTTTTTTTAATTGTTTGTTGTTTTTTTTTTTTCCCAATGGACAGCTTTAATTTTGGTGGATAAAGTGGGTACATTAGATCAGCAAAAATTTCAGCTTTGGGGAGAGCAAATGCAGTTTTAGTGGGATCAAAAAAGGCAGCAAGGATGCGAAATTATTCCCTCCCCTGCTTTGGTTCTCTGCCTCATTCACTGAGCCACATTTCAGCACCACTTACCTGAAGTTGCATTTGATCCAGGGCATTAAGAAGCTGCTTTGACATTACCAAGTCACCCAATAAAAGATGATCCAAAGGAGTTATGATCCAGAGGTCCCCATGACAGAGCAATTCCCACGTCTATGGCTCCACAGACACTGCTTATGCATCTTAAACTGTGGTTTACTGCAAGTATCACCCCTTAAATCTGTCCCAAATTCAGTGCTTGGTGACTTCTACAGAGAGACACATCTCATCGAAGAGCCCTGCCCTTGCTCCCTGGGGATTCTGGCAAAATCCCTCATCCCTGCTGAAGTTTCCAGCAGGCAGCTCGTGCTCTCCCGGTGTTCTGAAGGGGGCAGTACTCCCCCTCCGACGTTCCACGGGTGTTCTCTCCAAGGGGAGCTATCACACTGCTTTGCCCCGGCTGAGGCAGAAGCAGGGAAGAGCAAACTTTTAGGCTCAGGAGAGGATCCCTGTCATGGAACACTCCCAGGGAGGCAGAAGGGGGATTTTCAAAACACAGCGAGTTCATTAAAGCCTCGACTTGTAAACAAGGCATCAGCATGTAACTCCCACAGCTTCAGGCTTGGAAAAATCACCTTCTGTCCCAGAAGGACACAAAGTGCTGCTTACCATTCCAGTGCTGCTCAGATTATGGGCTGGGACAGCTCCATTTATCCCACTGCAGCTCCTAATGGCTCCCCCTGAACACCTGAGAAATTTATTTTCTCCTGCATTTATCTAGGCAAGTGTTTTTGTGGCAGTGTGACATTTCCCTGTGCCCCTGTTTGGCTCTAAAGGGTAAGAAGCCAAGGGGAGAGCTGTCGAGCATCCCTGAGCCAAGTTTCCAAAGGATGTGTTTGGGGGTGGTACTTTTGGAGGCTGGGCTGGCTGATGATGTGCTCCCCAAGCTGCAGGAGCAGGGAACATGAACAGTTAAAGAGAGGACAGATGTCTGAAGGTTGTGGCCATGGGGAAGAGCACTGGTGGGGTTATTTTGGAGACAAACATCTCAGTGCTGAGCATCTCGGTGCCGACAAGTGCCCAACAGCAGAGCAGCTGACAAGGGAAAGGGAAAGCTCTAGAGGGACGACACAGGAGAGAAGAACAAGAAGCCATTTACATTTGAATTATTTTGGGTGATCACACAGGTGTTAGAAGGACTCAGGCTGGAGGCACCAGGTTGGGGGTCTCCAGCCTAAGCCCGCTCCCAGAAGGGCCAACACCTCAGCTGGAGAGGCTGACTGGGGCCATGTCCAGCCCCATTTGGGGCATCCAGGGAATCCCCACTGACACGGGCAAGGCTGTTTCTTAGCAAGAGACCTGCTGTCCCTTCAGTCCCAGCCCCTCCCTGTGCCTGGGGCTGCTCTGTTCCAGGCAGGACTGGCTGTTCCTTTTTGCTGAACATCCTGAGTTGATGAGTAAGAGAAAAGCCTCCTCGTTTTATGGCAGGAGCATCAGCTTCCCTGAAGCTGCCTCCAAGCACCACACATGCAGGAAACCATGGAGATGGGATCACATGGGGATGTTTCTTGTAGCTGGTGCAAGCCCTGCTCAGCCAGTTTAGTGGTCTGTCACAGAAGGGAGACACAGGACCAAAGGTAGTGTCCAACAGAGCACTTTGGACAGGAGAAAACCACTCCAGTTTAAAGGGAAACTGGTGTCTGCTCCCCAACTCCTCTAGGGTGTCTTGAAATACTATAACCATTCTAAATTTACTTTCCTATGCCATATACCTCCTAAGAGGTATCCTCTTGTTCTTGTTCTTTTACCCTTTGCTCTCCCAGGGCTCATAACCTGACACAGCTGCTCTTTCAGACCTGTATTCCCCAATTAAAACCCATTTCCTACTAATACTCCAACGTTTTCTACAGGTGCGGTGGAGAGAGTAAAGAAAATTAGAGACTACGCCTTCGTGCACTTCAATAAGAGAGAACACGCTGTGGAAGCTATGAAAGCATTGAATGGGAAGGTAAATACTAATTCCTGGAGCTTGGGTACATTACATTACACACACTGAAACAAAGCCTCCTGCTTTATCAGCTACAAAAACCTCCTGGAGGTGTCATCCCTGTTTTCGCTTTGCAGGCTGCTTTTATACTCCTGAATCTGTTTTTCTGCAGCTCTGATGTACACAAACTATTCATTTTGGCTGGCTGTATTCGTGCTAAATGTTTGCCCAGCTCAGACTCTAGTTCACTGCTCAGAAAAAGTGGTGGGGGGGAAAGCAGAGGAAGCTGAAAGAAGAACTAGCAAAAGAGGTGGTTTGGGCTCCCTTGGCTCGCACTCACATCCTTGTTCCACGTCTGCCAACAAAAACACTCGCAGGGCAGCGTGTGAATGGCAAACTGGGACAGACAAGGTCAGCCCAGAACATCTGCTCCCGGTTCAGATGCAGGTTTGCAGGGGGGGTGCCGGATTTAGTCCCTGTTGCGCCGCCTGTGTAATTCCCGGCGCTGCAGTGCCGGGGCTGCTCCCAAGGAGGTGTTAACCCTGCTCCTATTCTTAGTGCTACTGCTGTTCCCCGCAGGAGCACATGGAATCTCGCTGGCTTACCAGCTCCTTGGCAGGGAAGTGGAGCCTTTGGAAGGCTGTTCAGCTAAGGGGGCGGGGATGGGTGCTCTCAACACCCTAAGACTTTACACCAAGCCGGTGCTGCCGTCTGCCTGTGGGAGGGGGATTTGGGGGGTTTCTGGGGCCGGTTTCCTTCATTTTCTCATCCCATTAGCAAACCCCCTCCCTAGGCAGGATAACCCCTGTGCACTTTGGAGACTCACCCTCCTGCCGTGCTCTCTCCCCGCCGGGAAGGTGCTGGACGGGTCCCCCATCGAGGTGACTTTGGCCAAGCCGGTGGACAAGGACAGCTACGTGAGATACACGCGTGGCACGGGCGGCAGGGGCCCCGTGCTGCCAGGGGAGTACACCTACACCTTTGGGCACGTCTACGACCCAGCCGCCGCCTACCTGGGCGCCCCGGTGTTCTACGCGCCCCAGGCCTACGCCGCCATCCCCAACCTCCACTTCCCCGCCACCAAGGGGCTCAGCAACAGGAGCATCATCCGGCCCCCCTCCATCCGAGGTAACGCCCGCCACACAGCACTCAGCTCCAGCAAAATAGCTCCTCCTACATGTGTGTCGTTGGACACCGCCCTGGCTCCCGGACCCCTTTCCCAAAGGGATGGAAAACGTGGGGTTTGGCCTCTGTCCTTCCCAGTTTTCCAGCGGGCCAAGCTGAAAGAAATCACCATTTTCCTGGAGTAAGCCTGAAAGAGCTTCCAGATTGCCCTCGGGCCAGTGAAAATAAACCACAAATCCTGGTTTTGCCCCAGCAGGGAAGACCAAATAAAACAATTTTCCTTTCCCCCCTTCAGAGCCAGACCCCACAGCCAGCCACCAGCACAGCTCAGCGCTGTGTTTCCTCTTTGCTTTGAAGGTCACAGGGAAAGTTTTACCAGTCCTGGTGTTTTCTGACCCAAAGCCATGGAGCTTCCCAAGGAGGTCACCATACCCCTGATGCAGGGTAGGGAGCCAGCACTGAAATCAAGAAAGCCATTAATGATGTGCTCTGGGAGATGGAGCCCTGTTTTGGGGGGTCATCAACCTTATAATAACCAGGGTATTTCTGAAAACTACTGGGTCACTGCACCTGGGACCAAATCAAATCCCCCCACACTCAGCTACCCCCAAATTAAATATCAGTGCAGACATCATTTGGTAAGTGCAGAAGTAAGTTTGGGGTTAGCAAAAAAAGAAAAATAAATAAATAACTCTGCTCATTTGATCCTCCTTCCAAAGATTATGCCTCATGTCCCCAAGCCCATGGCCAAGTCCCACAGCAGGCTGGGACTCTGTGTGGCACCCCAACAGGGCTAACCAGGACCATCATGGCCAGTTTTTCTCCCTTCACAAGGAAGGGGACAGGGCAGCCAGGAACACCCCTTGCACCTCATGTTTTTCCCACACAGGTGAAAGCAGCTTCTATGAAGTTTGCACTGGGAAAGGTGCAGATGTGATAACCCACCGTCCCTCTCTCGCCTTATGTTCTCCCCAGACCCCCAAGCAGGGTTCCCTGAGGAAAAATGGAAGTGTAGTGGGGGAAAACAAAAAGGGATTTTCATTTATATAAGGCTGAAATTGTATAAACTCTGAATTCTTCCAGAAGGTGAAATTACGCTGGTGGGTAACAAAAGATACCAGCTGTCCCCTCTCCACATTTCAACTACAAATGTGGGTAGAAAGGCATCACGAAATCAAAACTGACTAGAGAAGATGGGAAATGGGTCAGAAGGAAGCAGGTCTCCCCAAAAAAGCCTCCCCTACCCAAGCATAAGAGCCCAAAAAGAAAGGGTGTCGGTGTCGAGCCGGGGTTATCCCGCAGAGGGGCCTCCTGCCCGTCTTCTTCCCCCCCCCCATCCCAGCAAGCAGGGCTAACTTTTCCATTTCAGCAAGGCTCAGGGTGGTTTTTCCCGTGATTTGATTCAGTTTAATGCCTTCTTACATTCCTAGAAATTTACATGAATGTACCTGTAGGGGCTGCGGGAGTTAGAGGCCTGGGAGGTCGCGGCTACCTGGCGTACACGGGCCTGGGCCGAGGATACCAGCTCAAAGAAAAGAGGGGAGAGGACAAACTCTACGACCTCCTGCCAGGGATGGAGCTCACGCCGATGAACCACGTCACACTAAAGCCCCAAGGGATCAAACTCGCTCCTCAGGTACCGAAAATAGCATCAGTATCCCGGCCAACCGTCGCCTTTGCCCAAAATGCTTTGGGAAAACAGGCCCCTGATGGGATCTGCGCCGGGGACTGCTAATTAAATCCCTTCCTGCACCTCCAAAAACATTAAAAAAATCAGTGATGCTGGTTGTGCCTTGTAATATCCACCCACCTCGCTGTAGAACAGCGTCCACTCACAGAGCCCTAGAATTGTCTGGGTTGGAGGAGACCTTTAGGATCACCATTGGCCACGGAGGAGAGCTGGCACAAACACCCACGGGGGTCAGGTGAAATCCAGTCGTGGTTGTTCCTCCGTGAAAGCACCGAGGGTAAAGAAATTCCCACCCAAGAAGGGTTTGATACATGAGATGCACCCCCCGGGGCTTCACCGAGGGGTGAATGAATGCACATGTAGGGAAAAATAAGGTGCATTTTCAAACAATTTATGGGGAAGGAGGTGTTGACCACAACCCAGCCCAGTGCAGAAGCTCTGGTACCTCCAGGAGGTTTTTGATTTGGTTGTGCCTGTGGGCCTGGGATCCAGATGGATGGATGAGGGCTGAGGAGAAATCCAGAACAAATTCCCTGAGTCTCTGAAGGTCCGGCTCTTACAGTAACTCCCTTCCCCTCACCTTCTCCAAAGCAACCTGAGAAACCAACTTCACCCTGAATTTTGAAGCTCATCTTTGCTTATTGACACTGAATTACCACAGCATCCAGTTTGCCACAGTCTGTGAAAACATCCTTTTTTCCTCCCAGAAAACTGGATAGTGGGATTTTTTCCCTCCTACAAAATTCCACAGTGCCCTTACCCTATTATATCAGAACCACAGAACGGCCTGGATTGGAAGAGACCTTAAAGCTCATCTAGTCCCAACCCCTCTGCCACGGGACACCTTCCACTGGAGGTGTGAGATCACCTGAGTGGTTCTGCAGTGCCTCAGGGCGGCTGAAATTCCCCTTTTCCTCTCCCCATCCTTGCCAAGCCCCCTCTGTGCGTGTTCCAGCACTGAGGACTTGCTCTGTGGGGCACATTTTTCCAGCAGCTGAGCTCCCTAATCCCCACCCTGGCTACTGTCTCACAACAGCAGGTCTCAAACCCCTGCAGTTTGCCTCATGGCAGCCTCGTTAACGGGACAAGCTCATTAATACCTGTCAGCACGGACAGGCTCTCCCATCCCCTGTGCTGAGACCATTCCAACACCCCCTTGGAACGATTTGGTTCTCGCTGCTCAGCTGGGGTGCTCAGTGTTGGTGCCCAAATCTGCTTTATTGAGGATTTAGATGTTGATGTGACATTATAAACCCGCCACCCACACGAAGGTGCTGGGACAGCAGGGAACAAGTGTTGCCCCAGTCCAGAAATGTAATGAACTGTTTATTCACACACCAGGTGCTGAACTTCAGCGGGGAGCTGTGATTGCAAAATTCAAAGCAGCACCGATGTTTATATTTTACATTTGCATTTTAAATAAAATGGAGTGCAAGTTTTAAATAGGCAAGACTTTGGGGTGACTTAACTGTGGCCTTCCAGGACCTGAAGGGAGCCCACAACAAAGGTGGAGAGAGGCTATTTACAGGGATCTGGAGCGACAGGACACAGGGAATGGTTTCCCACTGCCAGAGGGCAGGAATAGGTGGGATATTGGGAAGGAATTGTTGGCTGTGAGGGTGGGGAGGCCCTGGCACAGGTTGCCCAGAGCAGCTGTGGCTGCCCCTGGATCCCTGGAAGTGTCCAAGGCCAGGTTGGACGGGGCTTGGAGCAACTTGGGCTAGTGGGAGGTGTCCCTGCCCATGGCAGGGGGTGGAATGGGATGAGCTTTAAGGTCCCTTCCAACCCTAAACCATTCTGTGATTCTGTGGGTAAAAACCCTGAAATCCAAAGGCAAAGCAGGAGTGTTTCTGGACAGCAATTCCCAATTACCATGGAATCAGCTGTGCTGGGACTGAGGGCAACGTGGTTCAGCATTTCCCTTTCAAACTAAAAGCAGGAGTCGCCTGCTGAAGCCTGTGTAATTAATGGGATGGAAACACAACCTTTTTTCTTTCTAAAAAGAAGGCTATTTGGACTTCTCATGCTCTGTAACCCACTAAGCCAGGGGGTCAACAGAGCAGTGAAGATGAATGCAACTCAAGGTTTTTTTTGGTACTCTGAAGTAGGAGAGCAGATATGGAGTTTTTGAGGAGAATTCAAAGAAAACCACTCTGAAACCAGAATAAAGCAGCTAATCAGCAAAAGGACAAAGGCATCCAATTTAACAGGGAATAACTTCAGGAATTAAACAGGTTTTTGAAGTAGAAAACATTTAGATTAATCTTATACTTGAAGGGGGCTGTAGTAACCTGTCTGCCATTTATTTTATGTTTTGTAAGCTTTGAGGAAGCTGCCACGACTCCCTGAAACCCCTTGGAGGGAAGGAAGGCAGCTGCCCAGTGCAGGGGCTGGGTGAGAAGGCCTCTGTGCACCAATTAACCTGAGCAAAACCCCCTTTTCTTCTTCTAGATCTTAGAAGAAATCTGCCAGAAAAACAACTGGGGACAGCCTGTTTACCAGCTCCACTCTGCAATTGGCCAAGATCAAAGACAGCTCTTCCTGTACAAAATCACCATCCCTGCCCTTGCCAGCCAGAACCCCGCCATGTATGTAATTATTTGAGGTATTCTGAGGTTTAGGATTCATTTTTTAAATGGTATTTTATCTAAAATCTCTCCTCAAAGCACAGTCACACGGGTCTCTATTCCCTTTTTTTTTTTTTAATGTATTAGGGAGAAAAACATCCACAACCTAAACTAGACCGATGTCTGCCATGCTTGGTGCTTTCTCTCTCTGGTGGTGCAAACATTATAGAAGGCCAGATATAATCAGGCAAGAGGGGGCTTTTAAAGACAGAAATAAAACATACCATAGCTCTTGTGGGGAAATGAAAGGAGCTTGAAGAAACCTGCTGCTATTTAGGCTCCAAATACGATTCCAAACATTTCTGACCTAAAACACTCTTTGATGTGTATTGTAAAAAAAAAAAAAAACACAACACCCCCTGATTGTGTATTTTAAAGAAAAAACACAGCAGGTTTTTTTTGGTTTTGTTTTTGACTGAGAAAAGCACAACAAACTCTGAGAGGACTTTGTGTCCAAAACGAGAGCCAGGGTCAGTGACCTCAGCAGGGAAACCAGCCCACTACGAGAAGAGTGCTCCCGTTAGTGCAGCAGCAGCAGCAGCACAGGAAAATAAAGCTCCTGTTTGCTGTGTGGGATGATGGCAGCTACAGGCAGACCAAAAGATCTCTCAGGGAAGCCCCAGGGAGCACAGACCCAGCTAACACGTTGCTGTGCTCGCAGACATCCCTTCACGCCGCCCAAGCTCAGCGCCTACGTCGACGAGGCCAAAACCTACGCGGCAGAGTACACCCTGCAGAGCCTGGGCATCCCCGTGGAGGGGGCAGAGGTGCCTCCAGCAGCACCAGCTTTTCCAGGTACGGGAAGGTCTGTACAGCAAAAGTCTCCTGCAATGTTATTTTTCCGGCTGCTTCCTTGCGGGTGTGCAGAGCGAGCCTGGCTTAGCTGTGCCCCCCCACGTGCCTTGACTCGTGTTACTTGTGTGTGGGGCAGTTTTATCACAGAATCCCAGAGTGGTTTGGCTTGGGAGGCACCTAAAAGATCCTCTTGTTCCACCCCCTGCCATGGGCAGGGACACCTCCCACTAGCCCAGGTTGCTCCAAGCCCCGTCCAACCTGGCCTTGGACACTTCCAGGGATCCAGGGGCAGCCACAGCTTCTCTGGGCAACCTGTGCCAGTTTATTGCCTACAAAGCAATTTATCTCTAAACCAGGACTACCCAAATTACAGGGTACAAACCACAGAGTAGCTCAGGCTGGAGGCACCGGGGTGGGGGGGTTTCTGCTCCAACCCTGCCACAGATGCAGAAGGCTGTGTGGGGCTGTGTCCAGGAGAGCTGGGGCAGTGTCCAAGGATGGGGAACCCCACCACCCAGGGGCCCATCCCAGCTACATACCTCCTCTCCACTCCTTCCAGTTTGGGAATGCCTCCCTTCAACTGGGAGTCCCAGGCAAGGTGCAGGATCCAAAACTGGAGTGCCACATCTGGGATGAGTCCCCTCCCCGGACCTGCTGGCTGATGCCACCCAGGATGGAGCAGATCTTCCTCACTGCAAAGACACACAGTTGTTTGATTCATGGCCCATCCATCTCCCCCCCCAGTACCCCCAACTCCCTTTGAACCAACACTTAGGATTTCACCCACCAAAGAAATGACGTGAAAGTTTGGATCTGATCCCAGCTCTCACACCCCCACTGGAAGAGTAGTTTTTTTTCCCAGTTTGGGAATTCATACTCAATAGCTCTTGCAACTGCTTCAAATAGCTTGGGAAGCCGTGGAAAACCCAGGAATCCGGCTCACAGGCATTACATTTACCATGCTCTCCAGCACGATGGTTATTCTGATGTAGTGGCAGCAGCACACGCCAAACTGCACATGAGGAATGCATTAGTCAGTACTACTGAGTTGTTTGGAGTGTCTCAAGGATGGATTTTTTAAAAAAATAAAAATCTATCCGGCTTCCTGCCACAGGAGTCCACAAAAGCCACAGAAAAATCAATTTGTCTGGGTTTGTGCAGGGCTTCCGCAGCGTGGAAACCAAATGGGCTCTTTATTGAATCCAGTCCCCACTTACTGCCTCATTAGAATCTCTCCTTTTCTTTCACCCACCATTATTTATTTGTCTTGGAAACACAACAAATTGACAAGCATTGAAGTCTCTGCTTGCAACACACGCACTGGTCCTTGATCAGGGCTTGCTGAAGGCCAGCTCAGCTCAGGCCATGCCCGGGTAGCAGCTCATTCCTCTTGTGATGGTGGCAGATATGCCTTAAAACACTCAATCCCTGGTCAAAACATTGCACCTCGCTTTGCTCATGCAGAGAAAATACTCTGAACAGCCACGTCACTCAAATTAAGGTGAATTTCTCAGGTTTTCCCCCAAAATAACGCTCCTGATGAGGCAACGTGTGCTCGGCGTTGCCCAATATCACCATTCCCCCCCAGCAGGAGGAGCTCAGCTCTAACTGACCTTGAGTTGATCCCATTGCCCAGCTGGTCAGACAGAGATTTTGGAGCCAGCAGATCCAATGGATACCCCACCCCAGCTGCTCTTCCCAAATTTAGGCTTTGTCTTAACTCCTGATTCTTTCACGACACAATGGTGTGCTCTGGTCAACGAGCTGCCCTCGGAGAACCCAGCCCCAAACCATATTTGTTTTTCCCCAGTGATTCACTCCAGCTCAGCAAAGCAAACATCTTCCCATGGAAAACTTTGAAGTGTTGAAACCACATTTTCCATTAGAAACTGACGGGAATAAAAAAAAATCCAGCCTGCTAAATATTTCCTCCTCGATGCTGCACGGAGGGAGTTTCCCTCCTCTCTGACCTGACTGTCCTGAATTCCATGTGGTTTGACTGCGAAGGGTATCAGAGCCATAATTTCTTCACGAAACTTGCCCAAATTTCCCTGATATTATGTCATTTTCTTGCCCTTCTCATGCCACGCGTGGGAGGACGGGTACAGAGCACATTAACACCCTCTTAGCTCAGAAATAATCAAAGCCTACGGAAAAAATATTTCACAGAGAGAGGTGTTTTTCAAGCACCGTCTTCAACAAACTGTAGGTGAGGAAGTGCATTAATTTTCCAGCTTTTTTTCTCAGCCCCCTTTGAAAAAACACGCCAGCAATGACCCATTTAATTTAATTAGATCATTCCCATTAAGAAGCTCACTGCTCCCTAGGCCATCCCCGTCCCCGGGGGATCAAAACCTGCCAGGTGACGGTGAGTTTGGAGTGGATTTTCATTAATCTGCAGTTTTTTTCCTTCCCTTTTCCCTGCAGGATACACCATTGCTAATGCAGCTGCCACTGTCACAGCCACTCAGCTCAAACAAGCAGTGACTGTGGGACAGGATTTAGCAACTTATGCAGCGTATGAAGCCTATCCCGCCTTCGCGGTCGCCGCACGCAGCGATGGCTACGGAGCATTTTAGTCCTGGCTTTAGTCAAGGTCCCTTAAATCAAGCACAGGCAGAAAGGAAAGAAAAAGAAAATATCCCAGTCTGGTAATTTTTACACCCTCTCGATTTTAAACTCACCTGTTGCCTGAGGTTCATCTTAGTCGGAGTTTCAGTCCTGGAGTTCTTTAGGTTCGTAACGGGATATTGGGGGGGGGGGGGGGTGTGGAAGGGAGAAATTAAAGGGAAAAAATCGCTCAAAATCAGATTTTCACAGTAGAAAGCAAAAGCTCAGCCCAGAAAATGAGCAGGTCTCAGGTGTGTATATATATATATTATATATATATATGTACAGCCTATTGTGTGCGTGTTTACAAGCAATGACCTGTGCTGAATACAGTTGGTCCCGTGGATGTTGGGACATGGGACAGGGGAAGGAAGGGGTGTCCCCAGCAAAACCCTCCATGCATCAGGAATTCTCCTACATTCACCCAAAAATTCCTCCTCCAGCCCTGACTCCTTGGCCACGTGGATTTGCCTCTCGCTGCCACCAGCACTGTGACGATGTGTTCAGGCACCTCAGGTGCCTTGGAGATTCTTTCTGGCACAGCCAAGGCAAAAAGTCACTTGTAATAAACCTTTCTGCCCAGCCAAGCAGGCTGGTTGCCATGCTGATTCGATTTTTAGAGCAGGAGGCAAGCACTCAGCAGAGCTTTCCCTCTTGCTTTGCTCCTTCCCAACCACGTCCGCAAATCAGCAAATAACGGTGCATTTTTGTCCTCTTCCCATCAAATGGGAACATTCACTGAAAGACAGGAAAACTTTCAGGACTATTAAGGCTGAGGACCAGAAAAGTGCTATTCATTAAGGCCAGTTCTCTACTTAATTAGAGCATGAGAGCTCACAGCCATGGCCCAGTAATAACAGGCACCTCTACAGGAACAAAATGATATCCGAGGAACATTTCCACAGTTTGGAAAGGGCCTTGCCTGGCTGCCAGTGCTGCTTTACACATCAAATCAAGGCTTCTGGCTGCTGTCATTCCACCAAAACTGAATTTACTGGAACAGCAGTAAAGGCACCTCTTGCTTTGGAGAGCACCAGAGGTTGGTGCTGTGTCTGAACACTTTGGGGATGCTGAGAGCACCCCTTGCTTTACAGCAGGAGGGCATTGCCCATTTATTTTTGCCATGGGATCGAGGCAGGAGTAGTGATGCTCTGGAGATATCCTATGCAGTAATGCTCACTGTGAAAATTCAGTCTAGGACCAAAAAGAAACCCCTTTTTTGAGGGGGGAGAGTTTACAGCTGGGTTGACAACACCCATCGAGTCCAACAGATCTGGCCCCAAATTTCCCATCTGGTCTGGGTGATGGGATGTGGCACCAAACAAGCCATTCCAGGAGGAGTTTTTCCCATGCATCCCCAAAACTGTACGAGGCACAGAGGTCTGTGACGAGGTGTTGGCTGCTGGGAAGGCACTGTTTTCTACTCTCATGCTCCGGCTGACTCGGCTTTGCTCGGAATGGAACAAAACCACACAAGCTGTGAAGTTTGTGGCCCCGTTAGACCCCTTCTATTTATAAAGTACCTCGCTGGGGTGACCCTAAAGGTATTACAAGCCCTCTGTGGCTGCTGTTGGTCACACTTTAAATGACAAACCTGCTCACAGAGGGCTGAATAACCAAGAGTGTTATGGATCTTGTGGCTTTTTTTCCCCTCTTCTGTCTATGTCTTTAAGTCATGTTTGCCGACGAGTAACACGTCCCTGAGTGTGTCTCTCTCAAAGGCCACCGTTGGCAAGAGTTGTTTCTCACTTTGCCTGTTCAGTGACTTTAGTCTGCTTTTTCAGCTATTTATATGAGTTCAGAAAGATGTCAAAGGAAAGGGCAAGAAGCAGTATTAAAAAAGTGTGTGCATGAAGCACTTATTTTTGTACACTAGTACAATATTTGTATAGAGTTTTAACACTATGGAGTGTAGCAAAAAAAAAAATAATCACACTTTCCATTTACTGGAGGACAATCGTGCGTGTTTAAAGGGAATGAAGTGGGAATGGTATCTCAATCATCCATTACAAGCAAATTATAACTGGGATTAAATTCTGTGAAGCAGGTCTGTAATTTCAGAGTAATCCGAGGACATTCACTGGACTTTGAAATATCATTAAAACTTTGTAAGCCAACCCACGTGCCTCTGTTCTTTTACAGCCCGAGTTCCAGCCCCTGTGTGGTCAATAAGAGCACACTCTGCTCCGTAGGGATCGATGGGGGGTCAGGCAGGCAGGGTCACAAGCTGTTCAGCAGTGCCAGGGGTGTTTTCCACTGCACCTTGGTGACACTCGTCGAGCTCACGCAGCAGAAAATCAGCAGTTTTACGCCTCTGCACTTTTAAGTAAAACAATCAAGGGGTTGGCATTTTTTCCCATCACCTCTCTGGTCAATATTTATTTCTCTGTCAGAGCTACAGGAATTGCTTTTGCTACAAATTGATTACAGGGGTAATTGTTCCTTGCCTGGTCCCAGCGGAGATTTCTTGGGGTGAGATCAACAGTGAGGCAGCAACGTGCAAGAATAAGGGGGTAGATGGGCTGCAAAAATAAGGGCATGGCTGATACCTGGGTCAGGACTGTGAGGGACTGGCCCCACCCTGAGGAGAGCCTGCTGCCAGGTCACCAATAGGTAAATCAGCTACACTCTGGTCGCTTCAGGATGAGAAGCTGCTCCTTGGAACACCATCGTAGTTCAGCAGCTGAGAAATAGCAATTCCTGCTTCCACACCTGGTACAAAGGATTCTGGGTTTGCACCTTCCCAGAGAGATCCTGAGCCCAAGAAATGGGGGGAAGGTCTGGTACCTTGCTCCTGAGAGCACACAGCCCTCAGAAAAAGGCCTCCCTACCAAGCCAAAAGAGATTTTGCCAAAATAACTTGACATTGTTCTTACAGACTTACAAAGAGGTCAGCTGTGCTCTGGGCTCCAGTGAGAACAGCAGTTCTGCCAGCTCCATTATTTTCCCTCATTAGCTTTTCCTGATGTCCTGCTTTCCTTTCCTTTGAAATCAGGGCAATGGCAGAGTTTGCTTTAGTGCTGTAACGTTTCCCCCCCCTCGGGAGCTGAGATTCCCTCTTTGCTCAGCAGCAGCTGGATGATCACTTTTGGGGAGCCAGAATGATTTTTCAAGGAATCTCAAATCCACAACCCAACTTAAAAAAAACCACACCATAATTCCCCTTTTGTAAAGATGTGGGTTCCCAGTGGAGAACAAGACAGAGCCAAACCCCACATCCATCCTCCACCACCAAGTCTGAACATGTTTGAGGTGTACGTGATGAGAAGATCAGTGGCCCAGAAAAATCAGCAGATGGCCTCATATTTGGCTGCTTGTAAGGCAGGAGGTACAAAACCTGCATTTTCCATCTCCCTTCTTCCAGCCAGCCCTTTCCTGGAGGTCTCTGTAGCACATCTGAGGTGTAAAGGGGGAATAAAACATGCCTGAGCATGTTTGGAGCTGGATAGACCCTGAAATGTCCCACATGGAAACTCTCTCTCACGTCCCACTGAAACCCCCTTCATGGGACAGCGTCTCCAGTACCTTTCAAGGGGATTTGCTTTACCTTTGAGCTTGCATGGCTCCCTTTTCCCACTAGTCCAGCTAAATCTCTCAGAGGCCATCTCATGTCTCCATCAGACACCTACCTGGATTTCTCTTTTTTAGGGGGAAAAAAACCCCAAACAACAAAACAACAAAAAGCCACTTTTGAATGGTGACATTCCAGTCAGGGATCACAAATCACTGCTGTTCACCAGCTGGGGGTTAACCCTGGTGCTGCTCATGGTGCTCTGATGGGATGCTCCTTTCTTTCTAGGGCTGGAAATTGTTGTGTGTCCCCAAAACCTCAGTCTTGGCTAAAACTGCAACTCTTGGCTGCCCTTTGTTAAGGGCCAGTGCAGGGCTCAGACAGCCTCTCCCTCAGGGCTGCTTGGGGTGGGCTGCTCTCTCCCTGGACATGCTCTGCCACCTCCATGCCCAGAGACTCATCCTGGCCTGGCTCCAGCTATCTGCAGGAAATGGGGACCGTGCACATCCAGGTTTGGGGCTGGTTAAGAGAAACATCGGAAGAGTGACACTCCTTGTTCCCCAGGCCCACCCTGGGCACGGGAAGCCCCAGTTACGAAGATGTTAAAAATCAGAGAGCTGCTGGTGGACCTGCAGAGAGGCTGCACACAGATATCCACTGTGGGATGCATGGAAAAAGCACCAGACAACCACAGGATCAAACAAATCCCAAAGACTGCACTGAAGCCCGGAGACAGCAGAGGATTCTCCCCCCTCCCTCCAGTGCCTGGGGTCAGATCCTAATTCAGGGTCTCCTCTGCAGCTCCAAACGCCGCCGGCGAATTTGGAATTTGCGCCGTACAAACAGGACTTTGCACAGGAGGAAAGCGGCGGCGCAGCCACAAACAAAGTTTCCCAAGCCCGTAGTAGTTCGTGTCCCACGACAACCGAACTAAAACAGGCGGAGCGTTGCCCGTCTCCCGAGCTCGAGGCACAGGCGGCTCCACATGGAAGGAGAGCAGCCCCGGGGAGGGACGGGCAGCTCTGATGAGTAGTGCTATATTTATAACAGCTGGCGAGGCGCCCAAATTCCTGAAAACATTTTCTTCCGAGCTTTGGATCTGTTCGGCGGCGAGCTCGTTCTTGTGTAAAACGGCACTGGCACCTAGTGGCCGCCGGATCCCAGCGCGGCATCCCAAAAAGTTTTCAGTCGGCACCCAGTCGCTGTGTGCCAGCTGCAGGAGACAGCCACGATGCTGTTAGAGAGCAAATAAAACCAAGGGCTTCTCCTGCCGCGGCGCTCGGAGCTGCTGAACTTTCTAGACACAAAAAATTAGGGAAAGTCGCAAAACCCCCTGCCCCCTAAACTTCAGAAAGCCTGTGCCCGCTGCTGCCAGCCAAATAAAACAGCTGCTAAGAGGTGTCTCACGAAGCTGTCTGCTCTGGGGCACGGGGGGAACTCTCCAGACACCCTAATTCTGCCTCTCAACACCTCCCATGAGAAACTCCAGCTTCTTAAAAACTCTCTTTTGGGGTCAGATGCTCACGTTTTAGAGGGTGGATCTTACCCACGAGCATTTTAACTGTGCAATTCAACTTTGCTTCGTTAAACACGCTCAGTGCTACTGAAAAAGATCCACAGTTAATGTCATGCAATAATAGAGACAAAATCACCAGAAACAAACAAACAAAAAAAAAAAGAAATACCACAGTGGGGGAAAAAAAGTGAAACACCGTTTCCTTTTTCCTGGTGTATTTCTTTTAGGAAAACCAGAGCACTCCTGTGCTGGGCGAGTTACTGGGAAAGGACATCGGGAGCATCCTCAGGGATTGGATTCCCAGCGATGTTCTTTCAAAGCTCTCTCTTTCCTGGCTCGATATTGCGAGTGCTTTGAGCTCCTCCGGGTGGGGATCTCTGAGACTGATTGCAGCTGGTTTAAAATGAATAATTCATCCTCTCCCACTGATGTTAAAGAGAGGAGAAATTATCTGATTGATGATTCTCTGAAGAATTAAAGAGATTGCATACAAAATTGGTACACATTATTGGAGCTTATTAAACATTTACTGTCAGGCCCTAGAAAAAATCCAGATCTGAAAGGTGTGTTTTCTCTGGCACGTGTAAACATCCTCAATTTTGATCTTTTTGATGCGTCCCAAAGTGATATTTAGAGGGTAAAATGCCATCTGCTGCCCCTTTGCTGTGGCTGGAGGGCTGGGCAGGAGCTTAACACAAGAAGAGTGGACAAAGTCAGCCCCAAAGTCTTTCTCACCCAGCATCTGGTCTGTGCCACAGGTATAAGAGATCTTCAGGTCATAAAATCAGCACAAACACAGGTAGTCCTTCCAGACACTCAGCGGCCTCCAGCCCATCTGTAGTTTCTTGGGCCACTGAGAGCTTTCTGAGGGGATTCTCCTCCAAAAGCTGGCCCAGCAAGCTGAAATTTCAGAACCCACACGTGGTGGGCAGCACTGAGCCCACCTGGCACACCAGTCACTTCAAAAGTGGCACTGGTGAAGGAGAATAAATAACACAGATTTTTTTCCAGAAGGAAAAAAAAATGCCAACTGCTTCGAGCTCTGTGAGTGACTGACCTTCCTCTCCTTGCTTGAGGCCTGGGAGGTGGGAGCCCACATTTTTTGGGGTGATTTGAGTGAGTTCTGGGTCATTTTTTGGGGTGATTTTGGGGCAGTTTCTGGTAATTTTTTGGGGTGATTTCAATCTGTTTCTGGTCAAGTTTTGGGGAGATTTGGGTGAGTTTCTGGTAATTTTTTGGGGAGATTTGGGTCAGTGTTGTGTCATTTTTTGGGGAGATTTGGGTCAGTTTTGAGTCAGTTTTTGAGGTGATTTGAGTGTCTTGGTTTCAGTTTTTTGGGGATTTGGGTCAGTTTCTGGTCATTTTTGGGGGATATTTGGGTCAGTTTTGGGGCAGTTTTTGTTGTGATTTGGGTCAGTTTCTGGTCATTTTTGGGGGTAATTTTGTGTCAATTCAGGTCACTTTTGGGGGGATTTTTTGCATTTTTTGGCTCAGATTTTGGGCCAATTTGAAGTTAGTTTTTGGGGTGATTTGGGCCAGTTTTAGGTCAGTCGTGGATCAATTTTTGGGGTGAATTGGATCAGTTTTGGGTCAGTTGGGGGAGATTTGAGTCAGTTTTTGGAGGGTGTTTGCGGGTTTTTGGGTGATTTGGGCTGGTTTGGGGTCAGGTTTCGGAGTGTTTGGGGTCAGTTTGGTGTCAGTTTTTGGGGTGATTTTGGTCACTTTTTGATCAGTTTTTGGGATGATTTGGGTGAGTTTTGGGGTCATTTTTTGGGGTGATTTTTGTGAGTTTCTGATCATCTTTTGGGGAGATGTGGGTGAGTTTTGGGTCATTTTTTGGGGAGATTTGGGTCAGTTTCTGGTCAGTTTTTGGGGAGATTTGTGTCATCTTTCGGTCATTTTTGGGGGAGATTTGGGTCAGTTTTGGATCATTTTTTGGGTTGATTTGGGTCAGTTTTTGGTCGTTTATGAGGTTATTTGAGTAAGTCTTGGTGTCAGTTTTTTGGGGGTTGGGGATCAGTTTCTGGTCATTTTTGGGGGTGATTTGGGCCAGTTTTGTGTCAGTTCTGGATCAATTTTTGGGGTGAATTGGATCAGTTTTTGGGTCATTTTTTGGGGAGATTTGAGTCAGTTTCCGGTCATTTTTTGGGGTGATTTGGCTGACTTTTGGGTCATTTTTTTTGGAGATTTGGGTCAGTGTTGGGTCATTTTTTGGGGAGATTTTGGGTCATTTTCTGATCATTTTTTGAGGAGATTTGGGTCAGTTTCTGGTCATTGTTTGGAGAGATTTGGGACAGTTTTGGGTCAGTTTTTGGGGTGATTTGAACAAGTCTTGGTGTCATTTTTGGGGGGTTTTGGGATCAGTTTCTGGTCATTTTTGGGGGTGATTTTGTGTCATTTTGGGTCAGTTATGGGGTTTTTTTAAATTATTTTTTGGTTCAGATTTTGGGCCAATTTGGAGTTAGCTTTTGGGGTGATTTGGGCCAGTTTTGTGTCAGTTCTGGATCAGTTTTTGGGGTGAATTGGATCAGTTTCAGGGCCAGTTTTTGGGGAGATTTGGCTGAGTTTTGGGTCAATTTATGGGGAGATTGGGGTGAGTTTCTGGTCATTTCTTGGGGACGGGGCTGCGACCAGGGCAGGGTGTGCGCAGTGCCCCAAAACCCGCACCCAAAACCCGCCCGGAACAGCCCCAGAGCCCAGAGTGAAGCGCCGCGGGATCCCGCCGGCCCCGCCCCTCGGCCCGCCCAACCCCGCCCCCAGCTCGCGCCGGCCCCGCCCCTAGACTGGCCCAGGCCCGCCCCCGGCCCGCTCGGCCCCGCCCCGCCCGCCCCCAAGAAGGCCGCTGTCCCCGCAGGCCCCGCTCCCCTTGTCCCGGGAGAGCTCCCGGCCGGGCCGTGACCGCGGAGCTCCCACCCGCCCTTCCCCGGCCCCAGCAGCGCCCGCCGGGGCTGCGGCGGCGGCGGCAGCCGCGCGGAGGGAACGGGGGGCGGGGCCGCGCCGAGGGGCGGGGCCGGGCTGAGCGGGCGGGGCGGGGCCGCAGGGCCGGGCGGGCTGGGATTGGGCGGCGGCGCTCGAGCGCTGATTGGGCAGCGCTGCCGGCCCGCGGTATAAAGGGCCGGCGGGGCGGGTGCGGGCGGTTGTGTGTGAGGGCTGAGGGTGCGGCCCCGCTGCTGCCCGGGCTGCGGAGGGGAGAGCGCCTTGGCCGCTGGGTTTGTGCTCCGGGGCAGCTGGGGGCGTTTAGGGGCGCGTTGTGCTGGGCGGCGGGGGCCGGGTTTTTTGGTGCTGCGTTAATGGTTTTTGCTCGTTCTGTGTCCATTTGCAGCCTGGCTCGTGGTTTCCCCTGGGGCGGAGGCGAGTTGTGCTTCCTGCGGGGAGAGAGAAGGGCCTTGGGAAGCTGCTCCATGAGCCACAGCTGTGCCCAGCCCGGCAGTCTGTCCAGGTAAGAGCAGGGCTTATACTGCCGGTGAGGAGCTGGGTTTGCTGTTGGAAGGTAGAATGTGCCCGTGCCTTTAAATGCAAGGACAGGCAGAAGCTGGGAGGGACCCTGAGCAGGTTTGGTGGCACGACAGCAGTTTGAAAAGCCCTTGACTGTGGGAGAAATGTCCTGATAAAATGATTCCTGTTTTGCAGGGAGGCAGTTTGCAAGGACAGGGGGGTTGCTGTGCTCTCTGGTAAAACTACTGCCCTTGGGATGTGCAGGGTGAGGAAATGTTGGCCCCGTGTGGGCTGGAGTAAAGGTGTGTGGGTGGCTGTGTGTGACAGCCGTGGGTGTGCAGGAAGGGGGTTCTGGTGCCACTGGAGCTGCCACGGAGCCAAAAAGGGCACCGTTGTCTGAAAAAGGCAAAAAGTCTCAGCCCCTGTTGACACCTGTACCAAAGCAGATGCAAGTTTTCCCTTTCTTGTCTGCAGACTTCGCAAAGCTCCCAGGAAAGGAAGCTTTAGATTCCTCCCCAGCTTTATGCTAAAGGTTTCCTTCCTCCTGTCTCAGCACCCTTTCTGCTGTTGGGAGAGCACGAGGTGGATGGAGAGGATCCCCAGGCATCTGCAGGCACAAGGGACTCGTACAACTTCGATTTTCCTACAACCCTCGTGAGAGGGACTTCCAGGATACTCTTGGGTAATGTGCCAGTAAGAGTACAAAGAGTAAAACTAAAGTCAGGTTTGTTCTGGAGTATGTTGCACTTGTGCAAAGCTCCTTCCCTCTGTATGTTTTCTGTTCTCAAAGCACAGTCTTGGGTTCCTGGGCACTTCCTATTAAATGATTCCCTGAAAATAATTTTGTACTGAAAGGGGAAAGGAGCTGTCTGTGGGAGGTCAGATGTCCCTGGAAAAACTTTGTATTTTTTCACTCAGTAAGCTCTTAAAATATCTCACAGTGTGCAGGAATGCCTGGCTTCTAAAAGTCCCCAGCTGAGTCTTAGAGGCTTCTCTGAAGAGCTGATTTCAGGCAGCAGAATTGCCCCCCAGGAGGGACTCTGTGCCTGCTCTCCCGTGGCTCCAAGGGATCTCTGGCCCTTCACGCCGGCACCGAGATTTTCTCGGGAAGGGCCTCAGATCCCCGGACCAGTCTGGGACACAGGCAAGATCCCCCTGCAGTTTAGGACCAACTTGGCCCCCTGTAGGGACAGTGCTGTGGGTGCCCCCCGGGTTGGGGCACCCCGAGGACTCCAGTGCGCACCGAAAGGATTATTCGGGGAGATCCTCGGGGTGCCCGGCCCTGGGGAGCTCAAAGCAAGGTCCCTGCCATGGATTCAGGCATTGCTGAGAGTATCCCAGGGGTCCCTGTCCCTGCTAGACAGGGAGCTCTCTAATGGGCTGCAATTGGGTGATAAAAGTGGTGCTCCAAGTGCCAAAGAAGTGTGGGATTGGGATTAAGGAATGAGCAGGTGAGGGTCCAATTGGCTGTTTTCTCTGGAATGTGACTGTGAGAGCTGCAGGAGTGCCAGGTGTGTGTTCCAGTCCCCAGCATTTGGTTTGCACCTGTCCTGGTCAGACACAGGTCCAACTTCCTCAGTCCTTAACCCAAGAGAGGGAGAATGAAGGACTGGCACTGTTAAGGTGATTGGTGTGACAGGGGTTAACACTGGGTGATTCCTGAGTTTGTCTGTTTGCCAAACTCCCCCAAACTTGTGCCAGGAAGAGATGGACTGGAGAAGTTGAGGCAGAAAGGAAATTGAAAACTGGGGCTGTTGAAACTGTAATTGCTGAAACTAAATGTGTCCAAGCAGCAGCTCTTGTTGTGCAGGGAATAACTCCTGTCAGCAGCAAGGCCCCGACTGAAGTGGCAGCTGCAGCTGTTCCTGTGGTGTGGGCCAGTGGAACTGCAGGAGAGTGGAAGAGGGCAGAACCTGTAGGTATTACCCCTGGTGTGGGATCTCTCCTGGTAAGGCCAAGCCAGTATCCTTTAAAATCAGAATGCCAGACTGGATTGGTTGCAGGAACAGCTGAATTTGCTCCTCCTGGTTTGCTTGTAGAAGGTGAATGCCAGAACCTGCCAAGGAAACCACTGGCCAAGGGGATTGATTAGTGCAGGACCTGAGAGAACCCCCTGAAATGACAACCTGGAGTAGTTTCCAGGATTAGATTGCAAAGATGGCCTTGGCTGCATGTCCTTGAGCAAGGAAAGCCAAGAAAGCTTTGCTTTTGCAGGAGAAACTGGGGCAAGCGGGCAGGAAGAAGAGAAGCCCCGTGACTCCTCCCTGAGCCCCAGGCAGCCCCTGAACTGCCTCCCTGGGAATGGTGGGACGGGCTGGACTCTGGATTGCTCCCTCTGCATGTGTGGTAAGACTGTTAGGGCAACTTTTCCAAGAGCCTGTAAGAATTTGCTGCCTTGGCTAGATGGTGCAAGGGCAGCCTTTAAGCAGCTGAAGCCTTCCCTGAGGAGAGCTCTGGGTCTGCCAGATGTGTCAGAAGTGTTGGAAGCATCTTTGGTGGGGAGGGCAAAGAAAGGCCCAGGGGTGCAGTGACCCCCTGAGAAGGGACTTTGAGTTAATGGCATCCCTGCAAGTGAACTTTGTGGGCTGTTCCCCCTGCAGGGCAGGTGATAGTCCCAGCTACAGGGATGGGAAAAATGGTTAAAAGGGAGCCCCAAAAGCTGGAAATCCTCCTGGAGGCTCTTGGCAAAGAGAGTTTGCTGAGTTCCCCCTGACAGAAGGACAGTGATAGCTTTTGAGTGCTGGTAGATCCTTTGAATAGATAGCCTTGAGTGTGTCCTTGTTACCCCAGTAGGCCTTGTCCAACTGCCCATCTTCCAGGGGATATACATATTGAAGGAAAAAATGATTCTTTTTCTAATCCTTTGTTGGCTTGAGGCTCTCCCCTCAGGAACTGCAGGAACTCCTGGTGCCGCCTGGGCCGATGGATTGGACGCCCCAGCCCCTCCGTTCCTGCCCAGCCACTGGGGCCGTGTCCAGTGGTGGCACTGCCAGCCCTGCAGGTGAAGTGGGAAGGGCCTTTGCAGGTCTTGGGGGTCACATTTATAGCACTTTTTGCAGAAAAAGGACCTGGGGTCTGTTATTCTTGAGTTAGGAAAGCTCCTTTTGATTGGTGAGCAGAACCAAGTGGATCCTTCAGAGTTCCCATCTGTGTTTGTGTCTCAGCCTGTGTTAGGATTCAGGGCTGTCAGTTGTTGTCACTGAGGAGTCAAACTGTGCTTTAAATAAGGAGACCCTGGCCTGATGGCCCAGTGTCAAGGCAAAAGGGGGAATGCTATCTGAGTGTTGAGATGTAACAAGGGCTCATCCTTTTTGCAGTGGGATGGAGCCTGGAAAGTGCACAGAGCTGAGCCAAGGGATTGAAAGGTACTAACCAAGGGAGGTGAAGAAAGAAGGAAAGTGAGGCATCAGCCAAGCAGCACCAAGTTCCTGTGTAAGCAGGTGAGTTGTGTTGAGGTTCCTCAGGCAGGCACTGAGGACTTTGAGGGCTCCAGACAGAGCAGACCTGGGAAAGCCCTCGGTGAAGCCCCTCAGAAACCTGAAGCCCCTGGGCCTTTTTGGGAGCCTGAGCTATTGCAGCTCTGGGGATGGCTTTGGTTTCCTTCTCTCCTCAGAGTAAAACTGTCCAGGGGAGTCTGTGATCTCCCTGATTTTTGTATCATAACTGAAACTTGGAAGAAAGTTGACCTTGTGGAATTTCCCAACTGACTTGGCCGGGTTGAACCAGCAGTGCCAGATTGTTGTAGTGTGCAGGTTATTGTTTGTGTCTGAGCAGTTTGGGGTTGATTTGCCAAGGGAGGCCATGGATTGTTATGGTGTTTTTGTCCCAATATTTGTAGGCACTGCCCTGGATGAGTTGATTTCTGCCTCACTCCCTGATGTCTGAGTTTGGAGATGTACCAAGAACTGGTGGTTTTTGCAGTGGGATGTTCCCTAGAAACTGCACAGAGCTGAGCCAAGGAACTTAAAGGGACTGAGCAAGCAAAGGCAAGAAAGAATGAAGAAGGGAACTGAGGCAGCAGCCAAGCAGCACCAAGTTCCTCTACAACCAGGTGAGTTGTCTTGAAGTTGCTAAGGTGGTCACTGAGAACTTTGGGGGCTGCAGGCACAGGTGACCACCAGAGACCCCCGATGGAGCCCCTCAGAGACCTTATAAGGGTTTGTGTATGTGGGAACAGGTGTTGGGAATGTCCTGAATGTGGAACAGGAATGCAGGGAAGGAAAACGAACCCTCCTGTAATGCTGACCCCTCCCATCAGCTACAGTGGAGACCCCTCCGTGTGCCCTTTGGGAGCGGATTGCCAGGACCCCCGTGGGGCTGGGATCATGGCAGGGTGTTGTAAGCAAGGAATGCCTGGCTTGGAAAACTCCCCAGCTGAGCCTTAGAGGCTTCTCTGAAGAGCTGAGTTCAGGCAGCAGAATTGGCCCCCAGGAGGGACTCTGTGCCTGCTCTCCCGTGGCTCCAAGGGATCTCTGGCCCTTCACGCCGGCACCGAGATTTTCTCGGGAAGGGCCTCAGATCCCCGGACCAGTCTGGGACACAGGCAAGATCCCCCTGCAGTTTAGGACCAACTTGGCCCCTGGAGGGACAGTGCTGTGGGTGCCCCCCGGGTTGGGGCACCCCGAGGACTCCAGCGCGCACCGAAAGGATTCTTCGGGGAGATCCTCGGGGTGCCCGGCCCTGGGGAGCTCAAAGCAAGGTCCCTGCCATGGATTCAGGCATTGCTGAGAGTATCCCAGGGGTCCCTGTCCCTGCTAGACATGGAGCTCTCTAATGGGCTGCAATTGGGTGATAAAAGTGGTGCTCCAAGTGCCAAAGAAGTGTGGGATTGGGATTAAGAAATGAGCAGGGAGGGTCCAATTGGCTGTTTCCTCTGGAATGGGACTGTGAGAGCTGCAGGAGTGCCAGGTGTGTGTTCCAGTCCCCAGCATTTGGTTTGCACCTGTCCTGGTCAGACACAGGTCCAATTTCCTCAGTCCTTAACCCAAGAGAGGGAGAATGAAGGACTGGCACTGTTAAGGTGATTGGTGTGACAGGGGTTAACACTGGGTGATTCCTGAGTTTGTCTGTTTGCCAAACTCCCCCAAACCTGTGCTAGGAAGAGATGGACTGGAGAAGTTGAGGCAGAAAGGAAATTGAAAACTGGGACTATTGACACTGTAATTGCTGAAACTAAATGTGTCCAAGCAGCAGCTCTTGTTGTGCAGGGAATAACTCCTGTCAGCAGCAAGGCCCCGACTGAAGTGGCAGCTGCAGTTGTTCCTGTGGTGTGGGCCAGTGGAACTGCAGGAGAGTGGAAGAGGGCAGAACCTGTAGCTATTACCCCTAATGTGGGATCTCTCCTGGTAAGGTGTCTTGGTTTGAAATTGGCCCCCCTGCGAGGCTGGTGGGGCTCAGAGGTGTTTGGGTGCCAGGGCAGCGTTCCCTGCAGAGCCAGTCACCACTCACGTTGTTCCCTTCTGCTCAAAATCATAGAGCACAGCACGGGAAGCTGTTGGCAGTCCTGTCTTGGTTGTTTTGCTGTTGGTGTCTGCGGTGTGTAGGTGTTGAAGGCCAGGGGGTGGCTGGGCTCTCTCTCTCTCACCCTCTGGGGGGAAGAGGGGGGCCCTGCAGCCCCCCCAACTCTGCTTGGGCCAGAGTTAAGAGGCAGCATTTGGAGTGTGTGCTGTGAAGGAAGAGATTCACAGCCCCTGAGGGAAGAGGAGAGAGGCAGGCTCTGCAGCCAAGCCCTCTCTCCCCCCTCCTTTTCTGCAGGGAAGCTGTAGAGGGGGGCTCTTCCTTTCCCTGCACTGTAGATGCAGGAGAGGCTCACCACTGAAGCTGAGCCAGGAGACTGGGCCGTGGAGGTAGGCCTGGCGCTCGGGGAAGAGTCCCAGGTGGGACTGGAGCCGAGCCCAGAGCTGGGGAGCTGCTGCCAAAGCTGAGCGGGGGCAGCCGAGAACTGCTGTGGAGGAAGGAAGATTCCAGGCCGGGGACCTGGATAAGCTGCACTGCAGCAGCCCATGGACCAAGGGGAGACCCCCAGAGGGAGAGATCACCAGCAGCAGAAGAGCAAGGACTGACAG